TATTCCCCACTCCTTTACTAATACCAAACTTATTTGAGGATCCCAAAAATCAGGTCTTGTAGCTTGAGAAGGCTATAACCACAGCTGCTCAATATACCATAGGAAACATATATAAATAGAACAGTAGCTGATACTGAGCACTACTGGTATAGAGCCAAAATTAATAGTGACCAGTAAAGTGTTAAAAATGAAATGTAAATGAAGGAAAAAGTGGGTGGTATAGCCCAAATGTGGTCAAAAAATTGGCTTACTGCTGAGGAAATGGGTACCTCCAGACCAGGGTGCAGGAGGCGGTGGAGAGAAAATGCTCTGGGCTGCTCTGCTAGAAGATAGGCACCACTCACAGAACAGGATGCTGCCTCAGATGTCCCCGGAACTCGTGCACCGGAAATGACGTTGGTGCGCCAGAAGTTACGCCAGTGAAGCGCAGAAACTGGCAGATGGACAGAGAATCCAGAGTGCCTGGGGAGGACCACAAGACCTCGTTGCTATGACGATGCGTTTCACACAGATACGTCCTTTGTCAAAGTCATTGACAAAGGACGTATCTGTGCTTTGACAAGGAACGTATATGTGTGAAACGTGTCATCATAGCAACCAGGCCTTGTTGTGGTCCGCCCCAGGCACTCTGGCTTCTCTGTTCATCAACATCTATCTGCAAGTTTCTGTGCTTCACTGACGTCACTTCCAGCATACGCCGATGTAATTTCCAGTGCACAAGTTCCAGGGACATCCCAGGCAGAATCCTGTTCTGTGAGTGGTGCCTTCCCACAGTTGACGACCTATCTTCAAGCAGAGCAGCCCACAGGATTCCTCTCCACAGCCTCCTGCAGCCTGGTCCGGATGTACCCATTTCCTCAGCAGTAAGCCAATTTTATTGACCACATCTGAGCTATACCACCAACCTTTTCTTTCATTTACATTGGACATGTGACTATGAACAATGGTTTTAATTATTTTCAAGTGGATAGTAAAATCCTTATTTTTTTTACTCTGGATCACATTGTCATCATCCTTGCTAAGTTTTAATACTTTACTGGTCACTATTAATTTGGTACTATACCAATAGTGCTCAGTATCAGCTAGAGTATAGATTTACCTCTTACTATTGCCAATAGTAAGAGTAAAACTAGCCACAGTTTTACCATGCTTGCAATCCAAAGCTACCAGAGTTAACCATTGAGCAGCACAGCAGAAAGGGCACACTAACCCATGGTAATATGCCTTCAAGCGTTTTTTTTTGTGTTCAATTTGTCTCTACGGCTAACATACGTCCAAAAACAAAATACCAGTTCTATGTGAACCGATCCTCTAAAAGAGCTGAAGGCTTTAGCAAAGACACAGCAGATGATCTTCGCTCCCCACCATCTGTGACAGAGCAGCAAAAGTTTCCCTTACCACCAATTTGGCAAGTCACGATTATCTAAGTCCTTGGAAACAATGCATAATGTAGAAGGCTCAGAGAGCTGACACATTTGAAAAATTGCATGCCTGCCTCACCTTGATAAATGACATACAAGTTTTATGTATTTAAGTAGGCTGAATAAAACACATGCCCTTGCCTCTCTGACCAGAACAACTTAAAAAGCAGAACTGTGGATGAAATGGTTTCAGTTGTTGACCTCCGAAAAAAAAAAACAAGTTGAATAATTAAATACATTATTGCCAAGTGACTGAAGCCAAAGGGAACAGCTTGAAGTCATTCAGCTTTTTCCTCTGAAGTAAGCAAATGTTAAGCTATGAGTCCTTAAGTGGCTCTGACTAAAGAGTACACTGCAATTAACCTACAGTATCTACAGGTCATTTTAAATAGAAACAAACATGCTCCATTAATGTTGGTGTTATGGGTAGCACTACCCCACTAGGAGTCGCTAGAAGATTTGGGTCCCCTATAGTCCTGCACAGCCAGGCAACATGCATCTTCACACAGGCTTGCATCAAGAGTCAGAGATCAGTCCTTGAGCTTTGGTTTTGTTGTTTTTATTTAGGGAATTTGATCTGGGATAGGGTTAGGGGTGTACAGGATGCCCAAGGAAACTTATGAACTGAGGACAGCTTACTGGAACTATTTACAAGCCTTCACTGCAGCACAGTCTCTGTTGGAGAGCTAGCCAGCATCTCCTTAATGTGTCCCCACCCAGACCCTAGATGAACTCCTCTTCTTCACCCAGCAATCTGGAGGTATCCCTGAACAGGGGATCTGGTGTCTGTTACTTTAAAAGTGGACAGTTCCAAATACGCAGCGAATCTGATTTCCCACCAGAGTGCTTCTTCCCCTATCCACCCAGGGGGTGCAGGGGTACTCACTCAGATTCTCTCTTGTACCACTGGTGGGTTGGTGGCTGCTACCAGGCCTATCAGTTGGGCCGCTCCTTCCCTGCCATACAGGTAGTCCTCTCTCTGGGGGCCAGTGAAACCAGCTCCAGCTCCAGGCCTGCAGGTAGGCCCCTTTTCACTGGGCCGCCTCGCAGCCTCCTGCCTTCAGCCTCACTTCTTCCTCACTGTCTTCCACCAAAAAACTCTCTCCAAGCTGAGCAGGCTCCAACACTCCAAGTGCATCCCAGCCCCTTGCAAGACTTCTGTTGGGGATTGGCTAGGATTCCTCAAGAGTGCAAGCCAGCCATTCCTCAGATCCACCCACTGCCTCTAGGACTTCCTCCAAAGCCCTAGAGCAGGGGGAAATTCCAGAGGGGCTAGCCTGGGAACTTCAGCTAAGTGGTTGTAAAGGTAAAAGTTTTTTTTTTACCCTAATGAATTCTCTGCCATAAGTTAAAAAAAACTTTTTATTAGCAGCTCCCCACAGCCCCCCTAAATACCTACCTGAGCACAATCTCGATCCAGTGCTGTGCGTGTCTGCAGCAGCTCTTCTCTGCTCTCACAGAATTGGCTGAGAGCAGTGGGAGCCATTGGCTGCTGCTGTTGTCAGTCAAAACCTTGAAGCAAAGAGCAGGGGGCGGGGCTGAGCCAGAATGCGTGTCTAAATAGATGCAAAGAGCCCGACTCAGGATCGAGCACAATCAAGTGCCCTCCCCCTAGGAAGCAGCTTCCAGAGAACTCAGAAGGGAGGAGGAGCAAGGAGCACCAGCAAGAGAATCCAGAAGAGAAGGATCGGGGATGCTCTGAAAACCCAGTGCACATAGAAGGTAAGTATGAAATTTTTTTCATTTTAATGAAAAAAAATGTAAAGCTTTACAATCACTTTAAGGCTGAACTCTTGGCAAACAGCTAAATCCACAGATGAAACACATACAAGGGAGCTGTATACCTGCCAAACTATTTTGGTCCATCCAGTCCCTAAAGTTACACAACAGGATCCTATCTGGCAGGCCCAGTGCCCTGATTTGTTTCTGCTGCAGGTAAGTAACACTTAAAGGTCTTGCCCTTCCCCCAGTCTGTGATTGGACAGTGAATGGAGAAATAGCCCACTGATGAACTCATCCTTCTATCACTCTGCTCCCTCCTCTATGCTCATTGGTAGCACATTGTGACTGGCTCCTTGTGCTGATTCTCTTTCTCCCAGTCGGAGCTCTGTGGTGGGGGGATGTAAAAAGGTCAAATCAAGTCAATTTCTGGTACTTTCAATGCTGTCATTAAAAAATACATTTGAATATGTAATATTGCATTCAGAACTGCATTAATCTGTGTCTTTTATATCTGCCTAGATTTCAGCCTTTGCAGTTGCAGGCTGTCATCTTGATCTCTGCCATCACTATTTAATGAGCTACTTACCTAGAACTATTATTCATCCAGTAAGGGCTAAAAATCCTGAACTTCCATTCTGCACCTTAGAAGCCATGTCAGCAATGGGAACTCCATTGTTTTTGTCCTTACACAGACCTTTGAATGAAATCATTATACAATGGATAAAGCTATAAATTCAGAAGACAAAGGTGCAAAGAGTAGACAGAAACCCATAGCAAATTGCTTTTAAAGCTTTCAAACTATTAGAGGTGAACTTGAGGCAAACAGCTACAAATACAATTAAAACACAACAACATGAACAGTTTTTACATTTGAAATGTTTTTAATTCTGTTCAGCTAGTTTCATGATCCAGGTGCTACAAAGGCCAGCTAAGCCCTGTAGTGTCCGGCAGCTACAATATAGCCTGGTCAAGGCAGCTGTAAACATGGCTGTGCAAAAGAATAGAGATGAATGGCTGAGAATGCCGTCCTTCTCTATCTCAATGTGAGAGAGAGCAGTGGTGTGGATTATAGGAGACCGCTATCAAGACAGTTTCTGCCAATTCTATGTATAAAAAGGTTTGAGCCTTATTCAATAAAAAGCCAATGCCAATAGTTCTTACGTGAACATGCTCGCTCCATGCAAATGGCTCACCAAGTAGTGAAGGAAGATGACACCTCTGTAGCCTGCACCTTTGAAAACAAAACATGTAATGGAAGCTCTGATATATCTGTTCTGCCAGGTTCCTTTTAAAGGGAACCAACACTATGGAAGCTGTGCAAGCAGAGGACAACAGTTAACAGTATTGTCTGTAGGCTTGTTCAGCTGATCTCTCCCCTCTGCTGACTTTTCTTGCCTTGTTCTGTACTGTGTCTCTGTATGGAAGTGGCCATCTTGCTAGAGGCAGGGCTTTGGCTTCCTCATGTAAGAGCTGCTGCCCTGATGACTGGTGATATGTTCTCTGCTGATACAAGAAGCATCAGTTACATAGTGGCCCCATGTACACGGGACACTTCTGAACGATGGAAACGGACTGCTGGAATACGTAGGTTAAAAAAGTCTGTTTAGCCGCGTTTGCATACCACGTTTATGTGCGTTTGTGTTTAGAAGCGTTTTTTTAACCTCCCATATGCCCAGAAAAGTGGTACATTATTAACTATTTCAGACTGTTTCAGAGAAATACAGAGAGCAGAAGCAGAGACAGCAGTATGTGTTGAGATGAGCTTAGGTGTGAATGGTCATTAATATTTCTTTTGTTTCCAAGGGTGGGAAAGGTGTCTGGTGGAGGGAGTCATTAAGGCCACCTGGCAGGGGGTCTTCATGAGGAATTTGAGGTGTGAATGGTCATTAACATATCTTTTGTTTCCAAGGGTGGGAGAGGTCAGAGGTGTGAATTGGTCATTACAATGTATGACAAGGTTGGTAGGAACATCCTGTTTTCAGTGTTTTTCAGTGTACCTTGAAAACGCCTTGCATGCATTTTTCATGATGAAAAAAGGCTCTGGACAGCATCGGGAACTGGAAGAGTTAAAAAAAAAAATTTCAGACGCAAACGCTTACCAACGCAATTTGCTGCTTTTACAAGTGTTTTACGTTTGAAACGCTGATAAAATCGACTGCTGAACCCACGTTTTCTGCGTTCAAAAAAATGACTGTAAACTCAACTGTCTGTAAACGACCGTAAATTAAGATGTGTACATAGGCACATAGGAAAACATTAGGGTGAGTTCAGGGGCTGTTGAAAAAAATGCTGAACAACTCCTAAACGTGCTGTATCAGCTGCAGTGTACATGAGCTATTCGTGTGGCTGAAAAAAGACAAAAGTTCATCCAGTTCAACCATTGAAAAAAAAAAAAAGTTATAATCCTATACCCAGAGTTGATCCAGAGGAAGGCAAAAAAAACCAGCACATTTGCCTCTGCAGGGAAAATAAATTCCTTCCTGATCCCCGAGAGGCAATCGGATATTCCCTGGATCAACGGTACCTATAAATGTTAGTATCCAGTTATATTCTGTGTATCTAACAAAGAATCCAGGACTTTTCTTAAAGCAATCCACTGAGCTGGCCAGAACCAACTCTGGAGGGATAGGTTCAGAAAGCAAAGATTCACAAAATGAATGAAGCAGAAATAGGGAGCTCTGCAGCAAAAACAGTAAGCTGTGCAGTACAGTGCTATAGATAGAGGAACCACTCCACGAAAGGAAGTGTGTCACTGGTTGGATCACCAGGTGTAAAATAAAGGAAAAAAAAAACAAAAAAAAAATAAAACTAATGCAGTCACCACATCTAGTGACTGGTAAGCTGCAATACATTAAATGATTGTTTTTGGCTTTAATACCACTTTAGAATTTCTAGAAAACCTTCACTGTTTGAGTTTATATGGACTTTAGGCAAACATGTACATCTAAGGTGCTGTCAGAAATGCCTTCTTTCATAAACCCCCAGAAGATGTATCCTGCCTTTCTCCCCTGCTCTACCTCCACAATTCCTTTTGTACACTTGTCTGGACACTGAGGTTCACTTACTCTGTAAAAAAGCAATCATGTGGACTAATGCAATTTTATTTTACAGTAGTTCGGAATAATTAGTTTACTGAGAGATTGGTTGTTTCTGATTGGTTGTTACGGGTGGCTGCATTTTAGACATTTCTCCTGGCCTAATTAAACATAAAGGACGTACGTTTCCCTCTAAGACACAGGTCTTCCTCTTTTGGCAAAGCAAATAAAGCCCTGGGTTTTGTAAGATTTTACATACCAGCAGTTGCCATGGTAACACACCAAGAGTTTTCAGCTAAGTCCACTTATGATGTCAAATGCAAAAGAATCATCTAAGTTGTATAGAGGAGCTAAAATGTACAGCATATAAATTAAGTGGACTAATCACACATAAATCTTGCATTAATACCATAGTCTGAACAAGAATAAATACATTTGGAAGTCCTCCTTTGTAGTTACAGTTTGATGCATCTGCCATTCTCTCAGCGGGGGAAAAAAAATTCCTTCCTCATACCCTGAAAGCAGTCAGATATTCCCTGGATCAACAAGCTCTGGTGTCATTACCTATAAATGTTAGTATCCAGTAATATTTTTTGCATTTAGGAATACATTCAGCTCTATTTTAAAATAATTTACTAAGTGGGCCGGAACTGGTTCTTCAGGGAATCTCTTCTACATTTTCAAAGCACTTACTGTTAAGAAGCCTTTCTGTACGTGGAGTTTAAAGGCTACGTTCACCTTTTGGCGCATGTCGCAGGTTATACCCATATTTAGGGTGTAATATGTAACAGTGTCCCCCCACAACCCCCCCTTCCCAGTGTGACAGCGGGGGGGGGGGGGTCCTCCTCTCCCCACATACGCTGTAATATTTCAAGTCCGCCGTAGCTGCGTGGGGCTCCATCCGTACCGCTGCTTCATTTATTCACAGGAATCTGTAAATAAGAGAACTATAAGTCCCATTTGCACTGTTGGCAGAAGGCTTGTAGGTCTCATTGAACTGCAAGGGTGCTGCCGAACACGCCTGTAGTTCATTCACAAGTTCTGTTGCTTTCAAACCGACATCCTGTACAGGGGAATGGGGTGGATGCTGTAGGGCTTGTTCGCAGGAGCCTGACATCGCACCTGTGATCTACTTGTAAGCAGGTGCTTACTCTGTGCCATGTGTACTACCAAAGACTTCCCAGGTGGGAAAATTGGTTTTGTGTTTTCCCCAGTTAAAATTGGCTCTTTTCTGTGTGAAACAAAAGGGGGGAGGCAGGTTCAGTCTGGCATTGGCTGGTAGGAACAGACCAAGCAAGACACGTGGGGCCATGGAATGAAAAGGATTCTTCCATCAGGACACCCCCTTTGTGGGCTCTCCTGTGGGCCCCATGAAAGACAAGTGGACTCCTGCTAACATAGACTTTACCCAATGTAAGGTATGAGTGGCAGCCTGGAGCATGTACAGAGAGGGAAGGCAGGAGACGTACATACTGTTCTATGGAAACCATGTCTTTGCTCTAGTCCTGCATTGTTCTTTTGTGGTCTCACATTCTGCCCTAAAGGGGTGCATGCAGGAGGTATCTGAACATGGGCTTGTACAAAAAAGGGGATGAAAAGGAGGTACTTAAGGGCCACCTCACAAAGGGTTAACCAAGCAAGAGAAGCTGACAGAGTGTATACCTGTGTGCTTCTGCCATGGGAAACCAGCATGGCGGTGGAAATGCAACCAGCCACTGGAAGTGGCACATGGTAGGGGTGACGGCTTCCCCGGTAGCGAGGGGGTTGGTGAGCTTGACCCCCTCCCTAGCGATCAGTGCCCCATATCGGGACTGGTGACACAGCACTTGGAGCAAAGGAACCTAGTCAGAGGGTGCAAAACAAAGGAACTAGCTCAAACTCAGTAGCACGGAGTTCTGCACTATGGGACTGGTAGGAACTGCTTCAGGAACGGAGAGTGAGGTGTAAGGGTACAACGGTGCTGGTGAGTGGGCCATGAGCTCTGCTGTGTCCCCCTCATAACTGCTGCATTTGGAAGGAACTGTACAGTGACAAGGGAAAAGTGCTTTAACCGTAAATGTGCAAGCCTGCAATTGGAACTGTGAACAGCTTGCTTCTAAGTTTGGGTGCCACCTTAGCTAAACCTCAGCCTGACAGCATCCCCAAGCCAGCGTTCCCAGGGTACTAGCAAGCACGTCCAGGAAAGGTCCCCGTATTGGGTGCTGAAACCTGATACTGATAGAAGAGAGTCTTTATTGAGCTTTCATACAATCCAAAGAACAAAAACAGCTTTCTTCAGCAAAAAAACACAAAATAGTCCATAACTATGGTACAATGGAAAACAAGATTATAACTCACCACCACTATACTGGTCCCACACTGGGTTTTGGGATTTCCCATCTGCTTCAGGGATCCCAAAGTGGAGGTTTTCACAGTGCAGCAACCATGGCTCAAGATAGTCCACCCTGCTCACTCAGGTGTGTCCTGCTCTCTCCCTCACAGACAGGTGGAGACTATTCCTTCTTTTTCTGGAGACAGATGCACTTGCGTTAACCCCTTCAGGACCAAAGTCCCTGTAATCAGGGTTTGGAGGTTCTCCACCCCCAAAAACAATTCTTCAAACCTCCCAAACCAGACTACCCCAGAACCCTGGTGAGAACCCTGAGTATTCAGCAATGTCTTCAAACTGCCCCACCCCCAAAGGGACCACAACAAGTGGGGAAATATACCTGCTGTCCAGGTCCCATCCCTGGCGTCCTGTACAAGGGGTTCAAAAATATTAGAGTGGAATTCCTGCCCAGCACTAACAATTCATAAAAAATCCCCCCCCCCCCCTCCTTTCTGCTACCTAGCTTGCCTAACCTGTGTAAAAAAGATTTGTTCAATTACCTTTTTTAGGCCCTGTGTCAGGGAGCGCTTGACAATGGTGCGGAATTCCGGAAGACATGACATCACCCACAGCCCAGACATTGTTGGCACTCCCTTCTCTCAACTGTAGCTACCACTCATTGCTGTAAGGCAGCTGAAGCTGCAGGATCACATGACTGGACCAGAGCAGACTAAAAAAAAAGGTAAGTATACAGATCTTTATTTTTTTACACAGGTTAGGCAGGATAGGTAGCAGGGGGAGGAGAAAATATTTTTAAGCATAGATTGTGTTAGGCAGAAATTCTACTTTAACCACTTGACCACCGGGCTATAGCCGAATGATGTCTACAACATGGTCGTCTAGTTCTGGGAGGGCGCCATATGCGCCATATGATGTCCTCCAGAACCGGGTGTACACCTGGTGAGCTCTGTGATCGCTGTGTCTTTTGGACACAGCTGATCACGTGACATGGTAAAGGGCCAATCACAGCTAATCACAATGTAAATACAGTTGCCGGATATCGGCTGCACTTTCCCCACGCTGTCACAGAGTGAGGAGAGAGGTGAGCCAGTAATTGGTAAGTGTACTCAAACATCAGAGGACATCAGTGAAAACCCAAGGGGACATCAGTGCAGCCCTAACAGTGTTCATCAGTGCAGTTCTAGAAGTGTCCATCAGTGCTGCCAGTCAGTGTCCATCAGTGCTGCCAGTCAGTGTCCATTAGTGCTGCCAGTCAGTGCCTATCAGTACTGCCTATCAGTGCAGCCTCATCAGTACCCATCAGTGCAGCCTATCAGCGCACATCAGTGCAGCCTCATCAGCGCACATCAGTGAAGGAGAAAAAATACCTGCTTGCAAAATTTATTACAGAAACTAAGAAAAAAATTTTTTTTTCAAAATGTTTGGTTATTTTTTTATTTGTTTAGCATAAAAAATGCAGTGGTGAGTAAATACCACCAAAAGAAAGCTCTATATGTCTAAAAAAATTATAATTTCATTTGGGTACAGTGTTGCATGACTGCGCAATAGTCATTCAAAGTGCGACAGCACTAAAAGCTGAAAATTGGCCTGGGCAGGAATGGGGTAAAAGTGTCCAGTAGGCAAATGGGTAAACTGATTTTTACATCTGACAAAAGTCCCGGAATCTTTCCTGATATTGGACTCCTGTAATCCTCTGCACACCATGCTTAGACTAGGAGAGAGGGGTAAGCAGCAATACAGGCTCTACTGCTTTGTACACTATTGCCCATACAACGCTGGGAGCTTTCTGATAGGAGGAGGCAGCAGAGTGAAGT